TGGAGCACTGGTAAGTGCTTAATAAATGTTAGTTGCTCCCCATACTATACATTTACAGTGCTTTGGAGAGGTCTCATAGCAGGCATGCATTCCTGTAGAATGCGATTTAGACATCACCCTACTACAACACCTTACATTCTTCCTCACCATTATTGTTTCTGTTGATTTTTTATTTATTTATTTATTTATTTATTTATTTATTTATTTATTTATTTATTTATTTTACATCATTGTTCATTTTTAAACAATATTTGCTTCCCAACCCCCTCAAGTGTAGAATTTCCTTCCCCAAGGCACCCGTGCACCATCACTACAGTCCCCTGTGCTCCTCCTTGCCTCCCTCTGATCCCTCTCCCTCCTCCTCCCCTGCATTTTCTGTTGATTTTTAAGAAGGGAGAGAACTTCAGGCAGGGATATCCCAGAGGGAAAAAGAAAGGGAATGGAATCTTTTTATATAACTTAACTGGTCAACTTTGCTGCACAGTAAGGGAGGAAACAGAAAGGCCTAGTTTTATTTGGGGCTTTCTGAAGTGTCTGACAGGAAAATCATGCCAAATTGGCATATGAACTACTATTAAGAAGTAAGAAATAAATAAAACTATAATATTAATTGCTATTGAAATTTCTCTGCATTTTTGAATAGCATCAATAAACCTCTCTTTATCAAAGCAAAAGGGGTAAAATTTTTATGCTCCAAAAGAGGTGGCTCCTTGCTGTGCCTTGTCTATGTCTGGTTCCTACCCAAGAAAAGCACAGTTAGGTGGGGAAAAAGGTCAAGTTAGCCCCCAGATTTCCCATCTCCTAGTCCTTGCATCAAATCATGAAATCTCTTTTCTATCTAGAGATGCTGGCACTTAATATGTAACTAATATTTTGCTATGGTACCCAGAAGAAGCCTGAAGCTAATTTTGACTACATAGTTATTAGTGCATATACCTCCTCAGTGATTCCCTTATCCCCAATTTCCTAAAGAAACCCCTGAAAATGACCAAATACCATTCCCATTCAACTCCAGACAGAGCAGAAAGAGACAGAGACCCAAGGGATGAAGCAGAAAGAAAGAGTAAGTTTAAGATACTAAAGTTTCTTTACTAAATCAAGAGCTAAGAAAGAGTAAAAGAGAAAGCTGGATGGTGAAAAAACCAAGCTAGGACAAGGGACCTGTGTGTGCAGGGGTTCCTGGTTGAGAAACTATGAGATTGCAAGTGCTGTAGAAAAACTGCTGTGTTAGGACTTAGACCTCTTTCAAATATTCTGAGGGACACCAATAAAGAAATTTCTTATACACACACAGACACACACGCACATGTGCATGCGGGCCCATGACATGACTGAGGTAGCAAACAGTTCTGTAAGACCACTGACAGAAGTGAGAATCTTTTAAGAGCCAGATTCATTTATCTCATTTAATTCTCACAATAACCAGTAAAATCAGTGTGTTACCCCCTCTAGATAGGACAACTGTGACTCAGAGAAATTAAGTGAATTGCCCCAAGTCATAGAGCTAACAAGGAATGGAGCAGAAACAAGCCTGAACTCTGCTGGGTTGACTTCCAGAGGGAGGCAAGGATGGAAGGGAACCAGGAGCCCTTAAAGAATGAGAGTCTGGCCCAATGCTGGGCTGAGTCGCAGGAGCTGGCCTACAGTGTCGCGCTAGAGTGGATGTCTCTGAATGTATGTGCCAGGATCTGGGTGATACTTTGTTAAAGCCTGTTTCAGCACAAAAGCTGCATGTATGACTTGTACAGCTCACCAGAACCCTTTTCGTTGTCCCTTCTGTATGCACTGGTGATAGAAGCCCGCACACAGCAAAAATTGCTATTTATGAGTTTCTCCAGAAACCTTGAAAATCTTTCCCTCCTCCTCGGCATTTTTTTCTTCTCTCCTAGTGCCCCTTCTTGTCCTTTTTACTCAATTTCCAGGCATTTCCTCCCTCTGATTGTCACCTAGAGGAAATACAATCAAGTATTTTCTTTTGCAAAACTTGGCGATGTTTTGAGTAATTTACCATTATTATTCAGGACAAGAGTTGGATTCCTATGACCCTTTCTCATTCAAGCCAACTTTTTTGCTGCAAACCTATTTCTTATAGCTTCGAATAGCCCAGATTAGAAATCTTAACTGCAAATTATCCTCTTATCATGTTTCTTTTATTTTGGCAATAGTGGCATGGCTGCAGAGAAATAAAGAATAATTGTTATCTAGAGGGAAGCCAACAAAGAATTCTGTTTACTGTATGACCTCACAGAGGAAGTAGCCACAATCTCCTTATTTCCTCACTATTTTGAAGTTTCTTCTTTTTTATAGTGAGCTTACAGAGATCTTTCTGAAAGGGACCTTTTCAGTTTGAGTAAACAGAGACTCAGGATGGATAGAGGTTTAGTGTAGATGACAACCCCAAGCATCTATACTTTCCATTCTGAATTAATTCTATGTGTCTAAGAGACAAGGTCAGGTGGATTAAACTAATGATAAGATGGCCTTTACTTAAAGACAGACGCCATTGGTTGACAATACCGTAAGCTAGCACTTCTTGGTCCAGCAATGATCTTTTGCTTACCATTTTCTCTCCTTTCTAGCCCCTCTGGCCAGTCCAGCTTGCCAATGCTCAGCCACATGACTGATCTAACTGATTTGAATTATCAGTGAAATCCACTTAGCAACCCCAACATCCTTATGACAAATTCTAAATTTATTTTTAAAAGAAGCCTTAACATGAATATATGTTAAAATACTCTCTCTCGCACACATACACACATACGCACAGAGTGTTGTATTGAATACTAAAGACAATGTGTCTCTTTGCAACCGCTTAGTGGCAGAGACTGCTAAGGAAGACAGTGGCACCCAGTGGACAAATGTTTGAGATAGGTTTTCCATTCTGAAATATTCTCATACCATAAGAAAAGTCAATTTTCTTACCTTCCCCCGTGCTCCTCTTATCCCATCTTAAAAACACCTATTAAATTTAAAAATAGGGAGGAGGAGAATGTTCTTACTTTTTATCCCTTAAGAAAAAGACCAAATTAAAACAGTGGCGAAAGCAAAAATCTTGGGATTAAGTTTTCTGAGAATAGTATCTATATTTGATTAACCTGTTAGAGCTATAACAGTAGAGACAGCCAAATCCAATAAAATGCTGGACTTAATTAAAAATGGAATATTGAAAATGCTTGTAACATACTTAAAAAAAAAGTCACACTTTCCTTTTCCTCAAACTATTGCCAACTTGCAGTTAAATTCACTTGGTCATGCAAATATGGTAACTCTAAGGATAATTCTTCAGGAAAATAACACAACCAGATCTTGCAACTTAGTCCTATTGTGTCCTTTATCTGGGAGGCATAAAATCACCCATTTTCACTCTGTACCCCTTTCATTGATTCTTTTGGCTGTGAGCTACTTGGGTACATAAGGCCTGCTAACATCTTTCTTTCCAAAACACCTAACCTGCATCTTACTCAGGGTAGGTAAAGAGAAGTTGAGTGAAATCCAGTTTCCATGTATTTATGGTAACTACTAAAAATACAAAAAAAAAAACCCACAAAAAACAAAAATAACTAATCATTTTGATATTACATAAAGGGATTGAGTTAAGATTCTTAAATATTAAGGATGATTTGTTGTATAAAAATATTTTTTATAGAGAACAAAAAAGGATGAGGACTTTTATGGATGAGTTGGATTTTAAATGAGACTTTGAAAGACATTCAACTACAAAATAAACATCTTCTAAGGGCAGCCTTGTTCCAGCAAGGGTGTCCTCTTTCAGTTAGTCATTCAAAATCTTTTAGTTTAGAGGCTCTGAAATTCTTAGTTTTTTGCTTTGAAATGGTATCCTATGTTCATCATTACAGTTCTTGTAATTTATAATTGTGCTGCAGTTAGAGGCTATTTGTTTGTTTGTTTTAGAGACTGGTTGGCAAACCAGAATTATGGCATGAGGCTGAGATGGAAACTTTCCCCAAAGGGTCTCAGCCATAGGCAACATACTTTCATTGTAAATACCCCGGTGACCTACCAGTCACATTTATTCAGTAAACAATAAGCACAACCCAAAGTAAGAGATTCACTTTTTGGTAGATTGAAAGAATCACTGCTGTATGAGACTACATTTCAAATTAATTATTCTTTTTCTTATAACTCAGTACCTTTCTGCTAATTTCTGCAAAAATTCTTATAAATTCTGATGCAATAAAATGTCACTGTACAGACCATTGTTAGGAAAACAATTGTTATGCAAATTTGGTAACTGCAAAAAAAATCCTCTTAAGATTGTTTTTCAAAAGTTTCTAAAAATATATTATCAAACTGTATCAACCTCTGTGTAATCTATAAACATTGTCAGCTCTACCCTGCCAGGTGCTGGAAGAGAGTTTACTCTTAGGGTCCAGGCCCCCTGCCACGGGTGGGAGAAGGGGAATAGTAATGCTGGGATTTGTACCATATATTATTCTGTTGGCAAAGTGTAATCATATTAGGAAATGATCAAGTCCCTGGTCTGAGCTTAAATGATACCCACTTAGCCCCTCAGAAACCAGAGACTGCTGTGTATGCAGATAACCTATTAAGTTCCAGGCTGCCAAGTAAGGGGGCTGTGTTCCACCCGTGATCTGCTTTGCTTCTGTGAGTTTCAAAAATCTAAGAAGAAAGCCAGTATTTCAAGAACTCTCTTCCCTCAATTAATGAGAGAAAATTACTCCTGTGTGGTTCATATGATTTTATCTTCATTTGGGTTTATCTGCTTATAATGCAAATATGCTTCACTTACTCAGGAAAACTACTTGCATAAAGATGACTTACCTAACTCACAGGGTGTGGTAAATGAAAATCAAAATATATGTATAAAAGTAACCTGTTTTATCTAAGATGAAAGAAATGCTTTGTGCACATGGGTGCATGTATATTAGTAGTTGCAGAGGTTAAAGCATGTATTTAGATTTACATTTATTTACTGCACACCGAGAACATTTATTTCCAGTCCCAGTGACAGGTATTACCTGTTCGGATAAGGCTTTAGCCTTTTCTTCTGCTTCCTTTAGGCAAATCTCCAAGGACTTGAGTTGTGCCAAAGTAAATGCCATTTGTCCAGTATCCAGGGACTCTTTCTTTAAAACAATAATCAAGAATTACTTTTTGGCATTTGATAGTTTCCCGAGAGCATCTGAAATAATGTTTTGGACTAAGGCTGTGCTTAGTAAAGGTCCACAAATCCTCTCCTTTCTGCTTCCATTCAGTAATAAAGTAGCAAAATGTTATAAAAAGAGTCTTATTTAATAGTATGAGTCTACATATTATCCTATAATAGTATAGAAAATAAGCATATTAGGTGGTGACAATGATCAGCTCTACAAAGTTAGAATAAATTACCCAATGTTTCAATGTGGTTAATCTTTTTGATACAAAAAGACCTTTCCTTTGAGAAGTTGTGACAAACATTTCACATTTCTAGTAAGAACTGTCACCTAGAATGCCTACATGTTTAACATTCACCTATGTTGAGAAACAGTTTCATTTGAACTTAGAGAAGCTCGTTTCTCTGACCACCATCCTGTTATTACAAACTGTATTAAAGCAAAGATACCACCTGATTTATCATCAAATCATCCTCAGATTATGGCTAATGTGACTCAAATCAACAGATATATAGATTCTGCCCCTCAAAATCGTTCTACAGTTACTGTTTCTCATCTACAAGCAAAAGAGTATGCAAAATTGGTTTGAAAATATCAGTTAGAGGTCTTACTGAGGCTAAAGCGCTTCCTGACTGTAGTGACAATTAATTAACAATTACAGAGCAATATGAAAACTTGGAAAGGAAAACCTCCTATGTGGTAGGATTATGAACTTTCTATAGCCTGGTTGGGTGTGTCCTGCTTTCTTGTGAATATGCAGGCTGCTGCAGCTGCTTCCAATTAACCATAAAAAGAATGAACTGTGTTCCTACATATTAAAAAAAAAAAAAGACAAAAAAAAACTGCTCCTTTGTTTTTTTGCCTTTCGTTTAGGAGCCTACTGATTTTACACATGTGTGCATTTCCTGATGATACAATAGAGCCATCTGGTGGTAAATGGAACCATCCATAAAAATAAAGCATTCATCCAGTTCCTATAATTGTTCATATAGTACCTGAACCTTGAGCTCTGCCACAGATATAAATGAAACTCCATGGGTGAGAGGCAAAGAAATGTTGCTACATCTCAAAAACAACCTCACTCTGAGGTCAAGCTCTACCACATGTCACCGCATAATCTCCCCAAAATGTTCACTTCTGGGAAATGAAGATCCTTGGCTAGGGATGAAGTAATGGTTTGGTTTGGGATGAACTAATGATCCTGAGTATCTCATGATGATTCCAATAATTTCAAAAGTCAGTCCTAAATATCTTCCCCCCCAAAAGGCCTCAAAACAAAATTCTGGTATTTATCCTTATGTATCATTCATTTTATGTAATAAAATTACCTAACTTCCTAAAATACTGGGAATCCCTGCTATTTCCAGGGTGAATATTTTTGCCTGATGTTTGATATCAAATACAAATCTTTCAAATTCTGTGAGTAGATCCAGCAAGAACAGCTAATCTGTTTCTCAAGGTCCTTTTCTTCAAATATCCCAAATTTCCTCAGCTAAGAAGGACAACCATTTGCAGTAAGACAAAAGCCTAGCCAAATGAAACAGTCTTAACTGAAGACTGTTATTAGGTAACATAGGATTTATTGTACAGGTAGATTTGTGAAACTCTGTGTTATACAGGGAGAGTTCTGAACAAACTTTAGAATGCCAGATCTGTCTTCTGCACAATGGCCCCAGCCACCAACTTCCTCTTTTCACTCTGTGACTTGCCTTTCTGTCCCCCTACTCACTTAAGAAAAGAATCGTTAAGTGTATCTACCCTAAGGTAAGAATGGCTTATAATAGGAGCATTTTTTTAATAGGAGGCAATTTCCATTAACCAATCAAAGGAGTAAAAATTGTCAAGAAATTGGTCAAGAACGGTGAATTTCCCTAGCAAGACCTCTCCTGCCGCCCGCTGCTCTCCTCAGCAGTGTAGCTCCCTGCTCTGGCTCTGGTGAAAACTGACTGTACCCAGTGCATGGCCTCTATTAAAAAAAAAAAAAATTGTCAAGAACAATTTTAGAAATCAGTAAACATGGGGTTAGAGGTTTTGGAGGTAGATGTGTGGTTTCAAGTACCCTAAAAAGTTAGAGGTAGTTAGTGATTGTACAGTGTTTTGCTATTCAGCAATGGCAGGTGAGCAGAAAGTGAGACTTAGACCGTTCAATTCATTCTACTTCAGGATTGTGTGGACACATCCTAACTATAGCAATTTATGTTTATTATAATGCCAAACTGTGTTGGTGGTTAAAGTAAATAATGAGTGATTTATAGTAATAAAAAGTATAATATACCATGCTGAAAATATACTACATATACAGGTATCTGGGGATTGTCAGTGTTTGAATTTTCAAATGGTAAATCCCAGTAATTCAATAGTGGTTCCAATTTTTAATTTCTAATCTGTCTTAAAAATTTTTACCTAAATATCAAATCAGTAGTTTACATGCCTGTAGCTAACCAAGAATATTGAGAATACTAAAACTTAAGTGAACTCTTTCATTATAGTAAATACACTAAACTATTATGCACGTCAGCCTACCAAGTGGCAAAACTTACAGAAAATTATAAAAGTAAATTTTCCTTTAACTACAGAGTGTCCTCATTTGAGAATCTAGGGGGAAACCTACCCATTTTTTCTAATGTAATTTTTGCTGATTTCTCTACCCCATCCCAATATTATTTCATTGTCTTTTTCCTTGCTCTTCAGTAATGTATTTCTTTGTCTTAACAATGTCTTACAATGACCTCTCTTCTTGCTCAGCAATGCAAACCCTTCCCACCCTTCACAACTGGTTTAAGGTCTCTGTTGATGAACTCTTCTACCCACATGAATCCACATGCCACACTTGGAAAGGTCCCCGCATGCAGAGGTTAAAATGGACTTCACTAAGCATTTAGTTGGAACTCAATAATTAGTTGTTCATTGATTGAAGGCTCAGAAGGTGGTTGCACCAGGAGCTGCCTTTTATGCTAAAAGTCTATAAAAGTGACAATAATTTCTATGCATCTGGCTTGGGGAAATGCCAGGGATCAGAGGTAAGAGAAATTCTGCTTGCCAAAGCTAGGGCCAGACAGTGCAGCAGAGGGCGAAAAGGTGGCGTTGAGGATGGTTGTGAGGATTTAAATGAGGTAAAGCAGGCAGCTGTTAGATGAAGCACTCAATTAATGTTACCATGAATAAATCCATTACCCCATTTCCTTTAAAAAGGATCCTTTGATATTAAAAGTTTCTAGCTTATTTTTAAACCCCAGTTTCAAAAAAAAGTACCCATACAGACACTTTTGAAATAGCACAAGATCAAAAAAAAAAAAAAAAGAAATAGCACGTGATCAAGTCATAGCAGTGGAAATTCAATCAAGTATGCAATTAAGAACAAAGTTAATATGATAAATATGTGTATTCATTTGTTTGAAAGGATGATTGTTAAATAAGGCTGAGGGTTATGACAAATTCCACCTTTATAGAAGTGCATTTTGACATGGGTCACTTTAAGGCAATTAAATATTTCTAGCAATCTGATGTCCAGGACTCTAGCAGCAGCCCCTGCTCAGTGGTGCAGTAACTTCCTGCCAGATAAAATATGCTTTCAACATATTTGTAACGGTCAAGCTTCCTGCTGATGTCTATTTACTACCACTGTCTATTTCTCTTTCCCCTTGCTTGACAGGCACTGAAGGCCCTACAACCTACTTATTATTTCTCATACAGAGGAGTCTTTTCCCAGCACCCACCCCTGCCTTACTCTCTCCACTCAGCTCCTTACCCTGTACAGATTGAAGGCATCCCTCTCCATGTCTTTGGTGCCTTTGGTGATCAGAATTTATTTTACAGTGGAGAATTTTGTCATTTTCGTTTTCTTTTTCTTTTTTAAAGATTTATGTATTTATGCATACAAGAACTGGAGTACAGGCCAGAGATGCAGGGGGGTGAGAAGATTCACCAGAGGTGGAGTGAGGAACAGAACAGGCAGACTGGCTGAAATACACTGCTGAGGGGAGCAGCGGGTGAGACAGGAGAGGTCTGCTGTGCCATGTGGGTAGCTCCCTGGCTGGCAGGGTATCAAACTTGTGCTGCAAAGGCTATGGATAGCTTCACAGTGTTGTGCTTAACCCCTGAACCACTGAGAGGTCCAATTTTGTCATTTTCTTATCCTTTTGTGTTTAGCTTTTGCAATAGTTTCTTAAGCTAAATTACTCATTTCTATGGAGGCAACCAATTAAAAACTACGTTTTCTTGATTCCATTCTATTGTAGTGAAAACAGTATACATTTATATTGGGATTGCCTCAATTGTTACCTAATACGACACTGAAATTTAGAACTTGAACAAACTACAACTATTAACAAAGCACAAAGGGGAGTCTAGAAAGTGCCCATTAATATGATTGTGAAGGAGATGGCCAGGTGACGGATATTATTGACTAAGAACTATGCTTGTAATCCGAAAGGCTACATTCTGGACATGACTTGATTCAAGCTAACAATGTGATTTGGACCACATGGACATTTGAGCATCATTTCTTGGAAATTTTTTCACTTTTATTTTTTTAAAGATTTATGTATTTATGCAAAGAAGAGCTGGGGTACAGGCCAGAGGTGCAGGGGAGGGGTAAGAGGATTCACCAGAGACAGAGTGGGGAACAGAACAGGTGGATTCACTGAAATCCACTGCTGATGGGAGCAGTGGATGGGACAGGAGAGGTCTGCTGAGTCATGTGGGTCACCTTCCTGGCTGGGGATTGAACGCGTGCTGCAGTGGCTGTGGACAGCTTTATAGTGCTGAGACTTAACCCCTTGCACCACCAGGGAGGCCCCCAATTTTTTCACTTTTAAATGAAGAATGTGTTGGCCTGGTCCCAATGGAGTCATTGAAAGGAGTTTAAAGGCACTATTTACAAAGATACGGGTACCTTAAGAGCACCACAAGGAGGTGAGGCAACACTTAGGAGCCAAATCACCTTTTGTATTGCCTTAACCCAAAGAGGTGGT